GAAATACGTCGAAATTGTGGAATAACATTTTTTCGTACCATGCTTCGTTTTTGAGATTGGGTAGGTGCACCGATCAATGAACATCTATCGGTGAATTAATTTTATATACAAAAACGAGTTAATTGCGTTATTAATATAAGTAAATGACTAAATATTGATGTTTTTCAATTCCGCGTTTTATATTCAAACAATTTTCACGGCGTTGGTTAGAAATGTTCATGTACTGATTAATTTTCATTCACTGGTGAAATTTGTATTTTTTCTTTTTAATTAAAATAAATTACATTTTTCCAATTTTCCAAATAGAAATCTGTATGTTACGAAACGGTATTGATATTGAAGCATGCCATTTTCATGTGCGAAATGTATATTAATATTGTTACTATTTAAAATTCGACTTTAGTAATTATACAATCTATTAAGTGTTTATTCATTGGTGCGTTTACTTTAATTGAACTACAAAAGTTCATCTAAGCATGTACAGTTCATAATAAGTAGAAACAGGTTACCTACGAGGTCTTCAAGAAGCTCTTAGTGATTTTTAACAATTTTCTGAGTACTTTAGGAAGATTCCAAGGGATATTCTCGTAGCCTTTAAGGGTCCTCAGAGACTCCGAAAATGCCCCCAGGTCCTCTATGGGACCCCAGGTTTTCTCAGGTTGTCTGGAACTCTGCGATCTTTTCAGATACTTCGGACTACTTTGAGGTGACCAGAAATATTCTCTTGACAATTTATGGATAGACTTCCCGAGGGTCACAGGGAAATGTTACGAGAGCAGAGTGCACCCCTGGCTTCTCGCCCCGCGAAAGAGGTGCTGTCGACTCGACCACGATAGGATAAACAACGTTAGAGGACTAAGGAATGTTCGAGAACGTTCGATCGGGTGCTCCTCAATCGGGGTAAAAGCAAATTCTTGGAAGCGTTTCGTCGTGATCGCCTTTTGCAATTTCCCCTTGACTTTGTACACGTTAACGGTGACCGTTTTCGCGAAACGATGTCGTTGCATTAGAACGGCGAATTTCTGGCATACTTTACCCGACGACCCTTGTGTGCCCCGTACAAATGAAACGGATACAAAACCGTTAAAAGCACAAAGTTCTCGGTTTCGGTCCGATTGTTTTATTCGCGTTACCTTTTTCGCGGTACGATAATTGCTCGTCGCTCGTAAATCGCGAATGGTTAACGGTGTAAATTTCCGTCTAATTGCGTGACTCCGCTGAAACGGGAAAGTGGTCTCGCTGGCGGTGCATTGTGCTGTGTACGCCCGCAAAGGTAACGGGTAAAAAGGAATTTGTCCTCCTTTATGCATCGGTGCATATAAAATTACAACCAGAATACCGTTTCAATAAGAACTATGCCCAAAGGATTCTCCTCTCTCCGTCTCTCGCCATTACAGAAAACTCTAATAAACCCGACTGAGCACGCCACGACTGAAAGTTTGTTACGTGGTTCACCCTGTAGCGTACTCGAAGGAAGTTGCGAGCTAACGATGCGGTGCCCGTGTAAGCTTGCAGCCAAGGATCCCGGTTGTGATCGACGGATTCTAAATGTCACAGGCTTCTCCGAGTTCCCTTGATCCGATAATCATGGCTGCAGTCACTCGAGTCTCGTGGTAGCACGCTGCCGTTCCCTCGACTACCATCGCCGACGATCGACCTGGAATATACAGTCTCCGTGGAAGCTAAGTAGGATGAGATTATCTCTCCAGGCGATATTGTATCCCTTTCTGGGGCGGGGGTAGGATATTAACGTTCACTTCTAACATTCACAGGTGCGTTTTCATGACAGGAGTGAATATACCGAATAGATTCCACGTCCTTTTTTTTAATTATAGTCAAACATCAGAATACCTTCTATCGTGAGGGAAGCATATCCTTTGCATAACTGGCTCTCGAATAAATCGAGCAGAAAAGAAATTCTTCCATTAACTCCGAAGCGATGCATTCGAAACTATCCCATAGAATCGATATCAAGCGTATATCTAACTTTTCTTTAACGACGAGCGGTGCACACACGGTTATCGGTATCGGGGACGCGGCTTAAATTGTCAAATAAAGACGCGTGATAGATGATAACGTCGCCGATAGTTTTCGGGAAGGATTACATTCAATCCCACACGCGATGAGAATCGATTCCGATGTTCGAACTACTCCCCATACTTCTACTCGAACACCGTTTGCCGGTTTCGTATCGACGATCCAGAACGAATCGTTCGCTCGACATACGCTTCAGACAAAAAGAATTTTCTATCATTTCGATCGTTTCACCTTGAGAAATTCCGAGGATCGTTCTTTCTCGACTACAGGAAATCCTTGATGAGTGTTCGAAGGCTCCTCGGCTCACCGGTCCCCAGGTGAAACGTTGACTTTTTAATAAGGTGTAGTATACTGATAGAGATTGAAGTTTTGAAGCCAATATTTATTCCACCAGCATATGGCCATTATTTATTTTTATTTTATCTCCATTTATAGTTACATCTCGCCTACTCGAGATTAGAAACTATTTATATATTTTTATATGGCCATCGGTTTATGAAATAATTAATGTTCAGTGCCTTCGAACACTCATCGAGGATTTACTTTTTTCGAGTCTGTTTGTTTGTCGTTTGTTCGCGCATCCACGCGGAAATTAGCGATCCGGAATGAACTGCGCTCGCACGTAATGACAGACAAAAGTGCCGACACGAACGAAGCTCGTTTTACGAGCGGTCTCGCGTCGAGCACGTGTAAACAGCCGTATCGGTCGGCCATCGCCGCGATAAAGAGAGCAGGAGAAGCTTTCCTCCAACCGAGGAACGACGATAGTTCATCCGGACGGATCATCGGCCATTCGATATGGTTGTTTCGAATTACTTTTCCGATATGGGGTCGCGAAGAAACCTCACGTGGAAGCGATTCCTTGTTGACGGATACCTCATGGAACTCGCTCGACTCGGCTCGGGAATTGAAACGTCTGAACGAGGCGGTAATTCTTGGCACGATGGATGACGATCAATTTTTTCGTCGACGAAAGGACGCGTATGATAAACAATTTCTCAGAAAGGGTATTTCACGATGCAACCAGAGACATGGACTTAGACAGCAAAAAGTTACGTTGATTGAAAGGCAAACACGGCGACATCGAGCAATCAGCGCAATCATTTCAGCACACGTTTCTCCAAGTATTCGAGGATCGTTCCTCGAACATAATCGAACAATTTACATTGTCTTTTTTCGTTGTTTCTGGCATCTCCCTTTTCACTTGTGAGGTCGCAGAGCTTGCATTCGTTCACCTAGACACTTTACCACTTGTATCTTCGATTTCACTTCATTTCGCTCGTCGATTACAGAAATAAATGTTACAAGCTGACAGATCCCCTTGGTCTGTTCCTTTAACACGACAATTGACGATAATACCGGTCGTTCGACCTTACTAGTTTCGGACATTTCACTACGAAATCGCTACAGAAGTCGCGGACACTTCCAATTCAAGCAAGAATCAAGTTTCTTAAATTATTGTGGATCAACAGAGGTTCCATCCCCTTCAGCGTTCATCGATCCTGAGATTAGAATTTCATTTCGATGCTGTCCGTTGGTTCGTCGTGTGCGTATATATACGCGTTTAGAAAGCAAAAAACAATTCGATGAAACGATCGAAACGAAGATAATCGATTCCACGCAGTCGTGTTCGGTGGATTGGTTCACGGTGGTGTTTCAGTCACAGATATTCACTCGTGTATCGAACACGAAGATTTCAGACATCGATATCGGTCCAGAAGGCTCGCCGAATCCGACTGCGAAGATCGATGATCGCCGATCGATCGCGGCTTTTCGAAACAATTCGTGGCGCGATATCCTCATCGCCAGCGATTTCTCTTCCGCAGCGATACGCGCTGTGCGATTGGACGAGTTCAAGCGAATCGAAATAATGGAAGAGGGCATCACGGAAGTAAGAAAATAAGGGAGAAGTCTCTCGAGGATGGCGAACCTCGCGGGAGCTGTCGAACCATCGCGTCGGATCGATTTTTCTCAACTCCGGGTCGACCGATTTACTCTCGATCTTTCGACTTTCTCTCTCAACAGGTGAAATCCGCACGAACAGTTACAAATCGAGCATTCTGATCTGTTAGCAGAAGAATCATATCGAAACGGTTTGGCACGATAAACCTCCCTTCCTTCAGTTCATATTCCACGTGTCTATTCACCTCTATTCGTCGACTCGATTCACTGTCAATATATATATACATATATAGTATATATACAGCAATTTCATTAAAACGATTCGACCAAACACCAAGTCATTCTTTAGATCGTACGAAAATAAGACCCTGAGTTTCGTCGACGTCGTATCGTGGAAGAGGCAGCTCCTCCGTATTCATTCCTTGCCCTCGATGTCCCGAAATATCGAGCCTCCCCTCGCTCGGACAGATCCCTATCGTGCGTTTCACGACATTGAAAACACATAAATATCGTTGGCCAGTGTCATGTTAAGCGGAAGAGACCCCCCAGGAAGGAGTTCAGTCGGTCTCTTCCCCGGCTGGAGAATAATGGCGGGACAATACGTCACGGTTGTGTCACCGGTGAGCTCGGTATCTCTTTGGGCCGAATGCCAAGAGGCGTATCTGTCGTTCTTCTGGCGCGATACCGGTGTATCAGGTACAGATCTTACAACGACGTGGAAGGAAACTCGAGGTCCAAGTATGGTGCACTTCCGATGAAAGCTGGAGCAAGATCGATGGGACAAGTCCAGGATGGTATTAAAAATTCGATGAACAGCGACACCTGCGTTATCGCGGCGATCTTTGGAACGGAAATTCCGGGTTGTTCGTGGTTTGTCATGAATTTCGTCACGATGGGACCGGATTAGTTCCATGACCCGATGAGGTTCGGTCGTCAGCGATCACCAGAAGAGACTCTGTGAACTGGTCTCGGGATCCGAGGCCGTGATTAAGTCAGTCATTTTTGATTCGTTGGATTCGTTCGTCTTTATTCTTCTCGGTAACGATGACGTCGATGCTGTTTTACACCTGGGTCAGCAGCGTCAGCTGCGCCCCGTTCTTTATCGAGTCTTTGTCCCTCTGGGATTGGTCCCTCGATTCGTTCCCGATGGTGATGTTCGATCGCGAGGTCATCGTCACCGTGGTCGTGGACGTTTTGCTGATCAGACACCTCTCGGCGTCCTCGTCCTCGAGCTCGAGCCTCGACTGGCCAGACACCGCGAGTCGATTCGAGTGAAGCTTCTCTGCGTTCGCCTTGTTCCGTCGGGGGAACACGCTGTTCTCGATGTGCAGGGTGGCGTTGACGTCTTTGCCGGCGGCGCAGGTGCACGCCTTCAGGAAGCTCTTCTTGAAGTTGTCGCTGAGAAACGCGTACAGAATCGGGTTCATCGCGCTGTTGCTGTAACTGAGGAAACCGGCCAACAGGAAGCTGGTGATGGTAATCTTGCTTTGACATTGTTTCGGTGGTGTATAAATCAGAGCGACCTGGGTCAGCCAGTACGGTAGCCAACAGAGAACGTACACGGTGATCACGGTTAGCACCAGTTTGGTCACCTTGCGATGGGATCGTTTCTTCTCCTTGGACTTGTTCTTCGGGCCGACCGTTTGGAGCTTTCTGATCACCAGGAAATAGAAGATCAGAATCAGGACCAACGGTATGGCGAAGCCCAGTATGAACGTGTACAAAGTGAAGGTGGTGTGACCACCGCGATTACTTGGCCAATAGATGTTGCAGTTGATCCCCTTCTCGGACTCCATCGCGTTTGCGTACAGAAATATCGGGATCATGAAGAGGGCGCTGGTCGCCCAAGCTGTTAACGAGACGATCTTCGAGATGAACGGCGTTCGTATCTTCGGCGACGAGATCGGATGGCACACGGCTATGTAACGATCAGCGCTCATTATGAACAGAAATATACTGCTGGTGAATTGATTGATACTTGTGGTGGTCATGTACGCTTTGCACATAAACTTGCCGAATATCCAGCTACGCAGGCTCATCGTCGTTACCAGGAACGGTATACCGATCAGAAAGCATTCGTCGGCTATCGCGAGATTCACGATGTACATGTTAGTCACCGTTTGCATCTTCGAGAAACGCAGCACCACGTAGATCACCAGGGTGTTACCCAGCAGACCGACGATACACACGATCGAATAGAGGATCTGATTTACCAACGAGACGATCGGCAGATCCGCCTCGCAGTTCTGGATCATCGAGTCGTCCTGGCTCACCTTTCGAGCGTAATCGATGACGCTCGTGGCGTACATTATCGTGGTGTTCATCTTGGACGAGTCTCGAGCACACTCGTAAAATCAAGGGGAGGTTTTTCTTTCACCCGGCTCTCGTCGTAAATCTTCTCCTCTTTTTTTCTCTCCTCTCTTGCAACCGTGCTCGCAGACGTGTTCGGCTACTTGCAACGTTCAGATCTCTGTCGACGATTTTCTTGAAATCCACGTGCAATCACTCAACCAACATAGATCGTCGCGATCCGTCAGCGTCTTCTTCTTTTCACCAGTCAACAGATCTCTCGAACACTTCTTCTTTCACAGTTGCCCGAGAGCTTATCCTTCCAGTCGAGATACCGACTGTTCGATCGCGTCTCGACCGCGATCCAGTTAAACGTCGGTTCTCCGTACTCTGCGGGGCAACAACGCGACGGCAATGCTTCGCTGCGTCGACGACGACGATACGGGGAACGGGGTCGACGTCATTCCGCCGGGCGTCAAACGATCCACGCTTCCTAGTGGCGTGATAATCCGAAAAGCACCCAGTCTGCAACCAGTGTACAATTTTCCCCTCGATTCACCACTGTTCTTTTCTTCCTCGCAGCCTGGAACAAAGGAAAAAAAAGTCGGCTTTTAGACTCTGCGATTACGAGGATCCCTCGATTGGTCGATGACAAAGATCGCGCTTATTCGAACGCGGTGCGCGCGACCGATAGGGAACGTTTTTTAACGGGTCAACGAGGACCATTATACTCGGCACTATTGCGGAGATCGCATCTTCGCGGACCGTTCCGAACGGCGTCCATTAAAACGACGGGCGTTAGCCTACTTCCGTGGACGTTGTAGATCTTCGTTCGAGAGCCCTACAGCCAACGTTCACGATTCCTCTGACGTGAAAAACGTATGGACTTATGGGACCGCGGTCGGGAAATGGTAATTTTCATCGGCCAATCTCCGTAGAACATCTTTCTTCCTCGAGAGACAATTTTAGAGGCGAAGAATTCCTTCGTCTTGTTCCTATCACAGACATTTATATTTTTAGATTTTGGAATCTGATACTAATCATCAGATTTGGAATCTGGATCACTTCAGATAATGGACTAGGGATCGAAACTCTCGTTAACCGCAGAAACGTACACACGAACACCTTAAATCTGAGTTTCTTTCGGTTGCCCGTTCACCGACCCAGTTCTTCCCCACAAAGTAAACTCGAGATCCCCGGGAACAGGCAGAGGGAGAGAGATCGTAGTCAAACGGGAGAATCGTGTTGACAACTCGAGTATAGTTCGACCGCTAGGGCAAAGGAGTCCATGTGCGGAAAGGGCGATCCTTGTTCACCCGTGAAAGCTGACGAACCGTGTTTGAAAGCTGCGCCGTTTCTGGCGAACCGCAGGTTTCCTCGTCGCGCCTCGCTCGTTTGGACAAACGTCCTCTCTCTCTCTACCTCTCTCTGTGTGTGTGTTGAGAAACTCGAGAACTTGACCAGGTAACGTTCGCGCGAATGGTCCCGGTCAGAGTTGCCAGGGGTAACTACTTTTAACCATGAACTTGGCGAATTTTTGAAGAGATCTAAGAGTCCTATCTCACGTAGGCAGACCATGTGCAACCTGGGCGCTTATTGGTACTAGTCTGGGGCGACATAATTAACCACGTATACGCAAATGTGTACATAGTAACATAAATATTATAACCGGAGAAATATACTGTCCAGAACTTCTTGAACAAAACTAAATTATATGTTCCCTCTCGCTCAATCAGAAGATTCAATACATTTTATCAGCCTCCCAGAACATCCAGATTTTCACACATCAACACTATCACCAGAGCTGGTAGTACTGTTGATAATTTTTACACACAGATCCACGTTTTCTCCGCCTCGACCATTTCATTAAGAACATCACTGTATCCCTCATTCACCTCACGAGAACGAATTCCTAACTAACATTGCAACACGTTATGATTCGCCGTATATTACACACGCGTGTCGACTTTGTCATCATCTCTCGGCTTTTCAATAACCGCACTAGAAATATTCACCGAATAATAGCAGTTTCCGGTTTTCTGGGAGTTGGCTGTCTGAGGAAAGCTTGTATGGAACTCTGGGAGCTTATGAGATGAGATTGGGAGAGTAATCGACTTGCCTTCCCGCACAAAACAGTCGCGACGAATTCAGCCCGTAAAAAGAATTTTATTCCATCGTGACCATCGGATTCGGTGGTAGTTGCGGGGATTTTGTTGCCCCACGAATTTTAACGAGAGGATTTCGACTCTATCCTCTTGTGCGCGCGACTGTATCTTGCTTCTGTTCTGTATCCTCTTAAGCGGTTGATCCCATCGGGACGTTTAGAATGGTGGATTATCGATTTTCCCGACCACCCTTTCGTTACGGTTCCATGCGTGGTATTATTTGCTCTCGCGGAGTGGTTCGACGGAATACTTACAATTTTGGGGAACAGTTTGTTCGTTCGAGCGATCGATCGCGCGCGAATGCAGCAAATGTACTGGTGTTGTTTTATTCATCGGTCGAGTGTATGTTACCGAACCCTCTTCCTCTAGTCGCATATTCCCAGTTCGTTTAGAAAAAAGCAAAAAACTTTAAAACACACTCCTTGGAAATACTTCCACGTAACAACGATCGTGAGAATTCTTTTTTTTTTTCATTCGTAATGTGGCCAGCCGCTGCCTCGGCTCGTTTCGTTTCTCTGCTCTCGTAGATAGAACAACTACACGAAGACTCTACGTGCAGTACGTGCCACGATTACCGAAAAATTGTAGTTGCAGCTCTAAACTCACAGCGTTGTTATCAGAGACGAGCACGATGCTGTTAAAACAAAAAAAGGGGGAATCTCAGCGACTGCCTGCACGTGATTTTCTGGTTTCATTAAACGCGCGAGTCATTATCGGTATCCGATGAGGAAGGGGTTGTTTCGGACTGTAACGCATATTTCCTGCGCTGAAAAATTATATCGTCGTTCTTGTTGCCGCTGAATGATTACTTCATATCAGGGAGGATAATGTAGAATTATATTTAATTAAATATAAAACGGTGTTATAATTTTTTCTCACGATTACGTTTGCTAGAGTCACTTGATTGCTAATAATTTTCTGGAAGGAACAGGAGTGCCATATTCACTCGAACTGTACAATTACACTAAAAATTAAATATTAACACCAGCAGAATCGTGTCTTGACTACGATTTAAAGAAAACAAATAGTATGCATGTTTGTTATAAGGCAAGGGGTTAAAGCTAACTATAAATATAATGTACGAGTGGTCCAGTCGTACGCTGCCGAAATCCTAGACTCCCAACAATAGGGCCAGGTCGTAGGTTTTTCACTCCCTTACACTTTCTTTCTAAAAAAAATCCCTAAAACAACCTAACAAGTGACATTCTAGACTAGAATACCCCTTCAACGAATCAAGTAAACACACCTGATGGTAAATTTATCGGTTCGCGACCTTAATGTTCCTATCAGCAGCTGCTCGTTACCATCCCTTATTACGTTTACAAGACAAGCAACTCCAAACGCAACGAGCGTTCATCGCGTGAGAGAGCTCGGAAGGCCCGCCGTTTCGCAGGCTAACGAGTACCGATCGATCGCCATTATCCGGGCATCCGTCTCCATCCTGGTAATTAGTCGCAAAGCGATTGTCTTAATGTTTAGACGATAGATTTTCTCCGGCGTACCTCATCCTTCCTCCTTGTCTTAAGCCGTTATTTTCTTCGTTGGTATCGTTTCGACGATTTTTCTCTGGACGTTATTTATATTCCGAACATGGCGAAGATTACACAGTAGAACCACGAGGGATTGTTAAATCGTTACCACGAAAAATCATTGCATGGTTCCGCCTCCCCGTATTTCACGAGCATATTGCCCCCTTTTCGGCGGCAAAGGATACCTTACGAGAATTCACGGGTGAATTATTACGTCTTCGTTGGCTGGAATATATAATATAAGATCGTTCGTCTAGTTATCGACAGGATATTATTAGTAGATTTCCCTGTAAGATCGTGAATTACCGCGATGAGAGAATGGATGTCTGGCTGAAATCCAGGGCTCGATAGCAACACGTGGAATTTCCGCATTGAATCCTGGGAGTTCGAGCGCGGTTATTCCCGCTAACAGCGAATCCATCCCGCGTTATTGCAACGGCCACCGTGAATCTAAGCCGTTCCCGATCGTCTGGAAAATATCTTCGACCATATGACTGGTCGAATATTTTAACAAACCATTCACGTACGATTGTTTCCATACACGTATAACACGTCTATCTCGACTAAAACGTTCTGGTAGCAGATTTAGTCCTTGCATTAACAATCGGGGTAATTATATTCTCTTGACGCAACCATTTCCGGATCAAGAGCAGCGAAATATCCTTTGATCTACCTTCACCTGAAGTAACGTCATTCGATCCTTTGGGAATTGTTCCTGAGCAAAGATTAAAGGCTGAAGAAAGTCGTGTGTCCAGTGTTGGAAGCACGAAATTACCTACTATTTCAATTTACCTCGTGTTTAATCGTGATACCGTCCAGAGAGTCAAACCCCTTTACCGCCACGAGGCATCATGACGGTTCACGAGCGAAAATCACGACACTATTCATATCACGCATATTTCACAATTCACATGTGTCTGTCACCGTTAAGAAAAACGCTCGAGGCACGATAATGCCACCGTACCGTTTTCATCGCAAGAACATTTTACACCGTTTCCGGTTTCGAAGCTCGCGGATGCAATAAACTCGTCCCTCCGAGAAGCCCCGGGTTCACAATTCGCGGCGGCATTAATTTAATAGTCCTGCCGCGCGCAAACGAACGTCCGAAAACGGACGATTAAGAGCCGTTTCGCTAATAAATTCCACTACCCTTTACAATGTTCCGCAAACACAAACGCACCGCCTCGATAAATTTAACCGGAGGATACTGCACAGAGGAAGCTGACTTATGAATACCCTCTACCAGGTCGACCATTTACGTTTATTGCTGTTCGAAATTGCGAATTCGGGGAGCGAGGCAGTTTACCCTTTGAGTCGGTCTGAGAGGATTTTGCGATTTTC